CTTATTCCACTGAGCCAGCTCCCCGGCCCCTTAAAAGTACATATTTTTTAAAAGTCCAAATGAATACTTAAAATATATTTTTGGCCATCAAGTGCTAATCATGCTATAATAGAAACTGAATGTAGTCTTTAAAAATTGGCTCTGCTACTTTGGATTGACAGAGTTAGGATTGTAATATAAGATACAGCACTTTCGGAGTACAGTTTAGTAGCTTAATCCTTTCTGCTGGTGGATGCCATGGAGGAAGCACTTATCAGTCTCTCTTCTGACTGCCATCATGCCTAAATCAGAATCTCCTAAAGAGCCTGAACAGCTGCAGAAGCTCTTCATCAGAGGGCTGAGCTTTGAAACAACTGATGAGAGTCTGAGGAGCCATTTTGAGCAATGGGGAACATTCAAAGACTGCGTGGTAATGAGAGACCAGAACAACAATCATTCCAGGGGCTTTGGGTTTGTCACTTATGCCACTGTGGAGGAGGTGGATGCCCCCATGAATGTAAGGCCACACAAAGTGGATGGAAGAGTTGTGGAATCAAAGAGACCTGTCTCAAGAGAAGATTCTTAAAGATGCTCACTTAATGGTGAAGAAGATCTTAGTTGGTGGCACTGAAGGTACTTTAGAACATCACCTATGATACTATTTTGAACAATATGGAAAAACTGAAGTGATTAAAATTATGACTGATGAGGCAGTGGAAAGAAGAGGGGCTGTTTTTGTAACCTTTGATGACCATGATTCTGTGGATAAGATCGTCATTCAAAAGTACCACACTGTGAGCTGCTACAACTGTGAAGTGAGGAAAGCCCTGTTGATGCTGGAGATGGCTACTGCTTCATCTAGCCCAAGAGGTCGAAGTGGTTCTGGTAATTTTGGTGGTGGTCATGGAGGTGGTTTTGGTACCAATGATAGTTTTGGTTACGGAGGAAACTTCTGTGGTTGAGGTGGCTTTGGTGGCAGCTGTGATGGAGGTGGACATAGTGGCAGTGGAGATGTCTATAATTGGTTTGGTTATGATAGAGGCAATTGTGGAGGTGGTGAAAGCTATGACAAATTTGGCAATTACAACAATCAGTCTTTAAATTTTGGATCCATGAAGGGAGGAAACTTTGGAGGCAGAAGCTCTGGGTCCTATGGTAATGGAGGCCAATATTTTACCAAACCATGAAATAAAGGTGGCTATGGTGGATCCAGCAGCAGCAGCAGCTATGGCAGTGGCAGAAGGTTTCAAAAACACTTCCAGGAAACAATGCTTAGCAGGAGAGAAGAGCCAGAAAAATGACAGGGAAGCTTCAGGTTACAACAGATTCGTGAACTCAGCTAAGCACAGTGGTGGCAGGGCTTAGCCGCTACAAAGAAGACATGTTTTAGACACTACTCATGTGTATGGGAAAAAACTTCAAGCTTTGTATCTGTGATTAAGTGTATAACAGGTTATTTCACTTTCTGTTCTGTGGAAAGTGTAAAGCATTCCAATAAAGGGTTTTAATGTAGACCTTTTTCTGCACCTATGCTGTTGATTGCTAGATGTAATAATCTGATTATGCCGCTGAATAAATGTGTCTTTAAAAAAAAAATGCAGCACTTTCTTCAAATCTTGTTTAGATGCACTTCAAAACAACTTTTCTTTAGAAGCATTCCAGATTCATAATGCTATATTTTGAACAGATGACTTAACGTACAGTAATTTTTACATGTGATAGTCTTGTGTTAGGATATTATAGGCTGTAGATTTTTTTTTTTTTTTTT